GTAATAGCGGCATTTTCCAAAAATGCACAGCAACTTTGGAATAGCAAAAAATTAGGGTGGACCTTTATTTATGAAAAGCAGTGTATGAGAGTTTTTTTTCTTCCAACTAATTTTTGGAAGGCTTTTTTCACTGTGCCGACTAGCCTCTCCCAGGCTCCTCCCATCCAAGGTGCGCCAGGTGGGTTAAATATCCACTTAATCCTGTGATCAGCACAGTATGACATGACGGAAGTGCCTGTTCCACCGTCATTTTCGAACATTGTGTCGATGATGCGTTTTCCCAGTTGAATCGGTGGCACAGTCTGACCGAACGATTGGAGGCACACCCCTACGAGAAACGAAACGGATGAAGCAATTCAAAAATGCTCCAGCAGACATATCTTCTACTGCCTCAAGGTGAACCGCTCTAGATGCGAGACATGTGAAAAGGCATATATACATTTTGCTTCACATTCAGACATTATAGGTCCCATGAAGTCGCAACCAACACTTTGGAAAGGTCGTGTGAATAACACTCTATCAGCTGGTAAAGGCGGCATTTCTGGAGCGACAAAGGGGAGATCCATGACATTTTTGATGGTGCAGGAGCTAAGGAATTTTTTGAATTGTCCAGAAGGTATATAGATTCGCTGTCTAGCGATGCGCAGGGTTCTGCTCTTTTCCGCAATGGGCATGTTTAAGATGAATGTCAGTGAGGATTAGCCGTGCGAGATGCGAGCCGTTGTCCACGAATATGGGACATTTCGTATCATATGGTAGTTGAGCGTTCTGAAGTCGCGATTCGTTGCGGATGATGCCATAATCATCCCTGAAAATTCGCTTCCAAGGAATCGTTAGTTGACATCATCGATCCGTACCTGCTTGTGTGCGTCGGATAGCAATACTATTTCGCTAGCGTTGATATCATCGCTGTTTATTCTCCCATTCAGGAGTGAATGAGAGTAACTTTGTCAGTACGATAGGCTTGTTTATTCGTCTGTTCGTTCTGATTACCCAGTGACCAATGAGCTTACCTAGTCGTGGCTACCGCTCGTAGAACCTTGTCTAATCGAGAGCGCCTCTCAAGATGGGTACAGAGCTCAGCATAACGAAGTGTGCGTACGAGCAAGTTTCAAAAAACTTTGGTAGAGAAATGAAGATTCATTTTTCACCTCAGAAGTTTGAAGGTCACTTGTGAAGAATTACGTGTCATCGGCATATTGCCATCCAGTGCACGATCTGCATTATATCTGTTTTCGTTCATGCTTTCCAATACTCACAAGTGAAGTATGAAAGCTGGTGATGCAATCATACCAAGTACTGAAGATCATTCTCCACTGTTATCGGGAGGCTGCTATGCAGAGGGTATAAAAAAAAGACATACTG